TCCTTATCACTAATCTTCATATTTATCTATTTTTTTTTCATTGTGTTGTGCTCTATAATAGAGGAAGGTTGTGGTTTTTTCCTCCTTTCTGTAGATGGTGAATTTATGCAATGGATTACGAGATTATGGTATGATTTATTTTCCTTTAAGACTAGTTAAGTTGTTAGATATGTAAATTTTAGACAAAACTGTTAAAAACGTTGTATGATAAATGTGTATATTTGTGAAGTTCCATAATTTCCTGTAGTGTATACACAATTTGGTTTATAGCTGAAAAATTTCTAGTGTTGCAGTAGTATTGGCAACTGATTATGAAATCTCTTTCAGTGTATAGATTTTATTAAAAAATAGGACATTCTGCTTTGGTGTTTTTCTGATAGGAAATTCCTATGTTTATTGCTTGTAATGATCAAGTTGGGAAACAAAGGAGGAAATAGATGCATATTGTAACAGTGGAATGTGAATGTGTAACAAGAAGTCAAAAAACATGAAGTGTAAACCATCTGTCTTCTATATAAAAGAGTTTCTTTCCTAATCCACATAATTTATTATCAGAATACTGAAGTAAATATCTCAGAAAGTAAGCCCTGTAAGTATTGAATACCACAACAACAAAAATGGACAAAGGAAAAATATATTTCCACTGTTTTGAGGCTGAAGGAAGAATAGTAGACAGTTTGATTAAACTACTGCTATTTCTTTCTATTTTTATTTTTATAATAAGCTTTTGTGGTATAGATTTTGTGGGAAAAAAAGAAATCTGCTTTTTTGTTTTGTTTTGTTGTAGTTTTGAGAGCCTTGGTTTAGTGGTTTAAAGTTTTCCAGGAATCTCAAAGGTGTCTCCACTATAGGTTTACATGGGTAACAATGTTTTGCAGTGTGCTAATGAACCATGCTAATTATTATGCATTCTCAATAATGCTGATAATATTTAGCTTAGCGTTCAAGAAGGTTCCATCCTTGTTTACAAAGATAAGATATAGAAAACATGGTTTGTTTTTTTTTCAGAATAGTTTGTCTAAAGCTGAAAGTAGACCGGAGATTTATTTTTCTCAGTTGCTGTGTTTCTGGTTGTGTTTCTGTTAATGTTTTAATTAGGATCAGGAGTGCATTTTCTAAATTTATCTCCTGATAACTCCAACTTACTGCACCTTGATTCACACAGCAGTGCTTTTTGCAGTATGTGGACTGTGAGTTTTGGATGTAACCAGCCAGATGATGTATGTATTGAAGGGTGCACCTGATTGTGCTGCAGCCACCAATGGATTTTAATCATGGCTAGGGCTAGCCTGATGTCGAGCTCTTCTCCCTTAAAAAACAGAGTGGGTCTCCTGGCCTCATCACAAGGATTTTGTGCTGCTGATACACTGCAGTGTTTCAGCTTAATTGCTAATGCAGAAACAGTGCTGTAAACCAGAGCAGGCTTTGTTTCTGTACTTACAGACTCCGCTGTAAATAAACGAATGATGTGGTTTGATACTTGTACAGTTTGGCTATTACTGTTAAAATAGGTAGCATTTTAATGCATGTTAGTTCTTAGTTTGTGGATCTATCTCCTGCTTAAAAAGACCATATAATATTCTGATATTTATTATCAGACCAAACATGAAGCGAATACGTTTTGATACCAAAATCTATGTGGTTATGTAGCGGTGTCATTAGGTCTGTAAACACTGCAACAAGGACCATTGCAGATATGCCATTCCCAAATTTAATGAGCTAGAGTATGCCTTGGCATAAAACTGTAGTTCATAGTGCTTAAAAAATTATTTACATTCAAATATATCAAGGCAATGAGCATACATTAGTAGTGAAGAGCAATACCAGCATGTTTTTACAGTAAGGATAGTGAGAATTTAGAGCTGGCTGTGGAATTCAAAAAAAAGGTTAGTGTACAATATCCTGTCTCAACAATGTCAAAAAGACTGAGAATAGGGCAAGCATGTCTCATATTTGTCTTGGCCTGTCTCCAACTATTCTTCTATTCTCCAGCAATTTTCAGGTCAGCACTTTTCTACCTACTGTGGTTTGTCTGTTTAACAACATACAATGCATCTCTTCCAAAAAATGCCATTTCTCATCCACTCTTCCCTTGAAACCAGGTATAAAATGACTGCTGCATCCACTGTGGTGTTAGGCATGCAGTTTGAGTTGACAATCTGTTGCTTACAAACTCAGTCTTTATGTGAAGCTAGGACTGTCTTTTCTGTGGCTATCACTTTTCATCGTGCAATGTAGGATTTCATTGCCTTTTTTAGCACACTGAGGTGCTCTTGTAGTCATTCTTCACTGATACTTGGCAATCTTTGTTGTCATCTCATTTCTCAGCCCAATTTGTCTATCTTTTGCAAGAATATGAAATTGCATCAATTCAGTGCAGACCCTTTGCAAAACTCCCACTGACAGGCTCCCTCCACAGCAAGAACTGTCCACTTATTCTTAAGCTGTTTCTTATATTTTACTTGAGTTTATGCTGTCACCTCTGTGGCAGCTTAATTTCCTTAAAATCCTTTCAGAAATTTGTAGGCTGTTTGGACCAGCACCTCCCTTTTCCACATCCTTCACAATTCCTTCAAAGAAATCCAAGACACTTGCAAGGCAAAAACATCATGGCTTTTACAGAAGCCATGCCCATTCTTACTGGAGCAAATGGTATTTATCTAGGTATCCATTAGTTATGTACTTTATTATAACTTCTCATTTCTCTCATACTGACATAAGGCTAGCAAGTCCTCAGTTCCCTTGACCACCCTAAAATCTTTTTCAAACAATAGCATTGTTTGCTATAGATGAGATACAAGAATATTAACTGAATGAAAAGTGAGGGATGATGGTTCTACTTGTAATACAATTCTCATGTTCCATCTGAATGAGTTTAATGTAACGATAGCTCTAAAGTTTTAAATAATCATCAGTTTGACTTGTATGCATTTCTAAGTATAAAGAGTTGCTACAAGATGTGTAATGTCTTTAATTCTACCTTAAAGCTAAGCTTTGCTTCATATATCTTTTAAAAATAGGAAGTTTGTGATAAGATACACTTGTACTACAGCTGAATAGTGTGTTGGGTTTTTTTTTAAAGCAGAGCAAGCTTTTAAAAACCCCTATATTTAGAGTTGCATTTTGCTCACTGTTCACTTATACTTAAAACCTGACACAAAAGTTATAAAGGTTCCCCAAGGTGAATATGCTACATGTTTATATTAATAAAACCATGAGGTTATAAATATTTATATCTACACTTGTGTGTATATAATGTACATGAATTGTGGATGAAAATATTTAAGTAATGAATACATATATTCCTCCTTCATGGAGCCAGAGGTACTTAAGTTTGATAAATGCTAAACATTTTTTTAAATGAGGAAGATAAGTTCTGCAGAGATGAATTTGTGGGGTGACCATAAAATAATTTTCCATTAATATTAGATCTTTCTCCTTTTTCTTTCCTACTTTATGAGAAAGATTTCTTCAGTTAGTTGACCTAAGACCCCCAACTTAAATATATAATAAATTTGTATCCACACATTTTCACAAACAGTTGTTCTTAAAGACTGTCTGTCTTCTTAAAGATTAGAGGCATGGGCTTATGATGAATTTCCGTTAAAGGGTATCATTAGATATATTCATTTTGTTAATATTTTAGAAGTTGCATCAGAAACCAAAACATACTAAGATGGGTTTCAAAAAATAAGTGAAATTGTAAGAGAAAAAACCAACCAGCCAACCAAACAGACTTTTTAGAAATGCTGATATAAACTTGCTCACATAGTTTTATATAGCTTTTTTAGTTTTCCTACACTTAAAATGTTATGTAAACTTGGTAGCATGACACACAGCTCTATTTTGTGTGTTCATTTGTTGTTCTTGTTGAAAATGGTGATTCCTCCTCATTGCTAACAAAGATTTATCAGGAAAAAAGTGCTGAAAAATAAGAATTCAAATAAAACAGTAAAATGAATGCCCTATGATATGATCTTACTGTGTGGTATTTTGGATCTGTTTCTAGGCAGAATACATAATAAAAAAAATCAAACAGCTCAAACAGTATATAGTAGTTTTAGATTGCTTAAAGCAATATTTGTTTTACTTTGAAGCAGAATATTGCTAGTTGCTATTAGTTATGCAGAGGGTTAGTCTAAATTAATAATTTTTTTTAAAAGTTGAATGCTACCATTTGTATCTGTTCTAAATGATGAACAATTCTAATAAAAAGATTGTTAAATTTTTAGATGCCTTCTAAAATAATATGGACTAAAGCACAAGTAAAATGTAAATACCGGTGGTTCGGTTGTATTAGTGCACACCCTTTTCTTGAGATCCTAAGAGCTTTGACAAAAGGTCACTTATTGCCTTTATTAATCAACTAAAATCTCCTTTGAAAGAGTCGTGGTAGTTTAGGTACAAGCTGAGAAATAAAAATTATAACACACATTGGCAGGATGCTGCAAACATAAGATGAGGAAGATCTGAAACTCAGTTTGTGATTTTTCTGTCCAGTTACAAACTGGAAGAGCAAATGTCTGTATTTCTGGAAGATGTGGAGGAACCTTGTGGAAGTACTTTTGTGATCTAACCCTCCTGTTCTTTTCTCTAATGTGTCTATTTATTTTCTACTGCTGTCAGTAGCGGATGTATAACTGGATGGATTTTTTGCCGTATCCACTTGTTCCTATTGAGGCATTGATTTGTACAATAGTAATTGTACAAGTTGCTTATCTTTAGAACATAGAAGTTTTTTCAGGTCATTTTTCTTCATCATAGGCTGCCCACCCAATGGTAAGTCTATCATCAACCCAAGCTATATATCTGACTGTTTTCTATTATTAGTAGTATTATGATTTTACTACATCGATAATAGAACATTTACCTACACTAAAATTCTATCTCCACTTTGTAGATATATCTTAAATATCCCAAACTATCCAACTGTTCTAAAATGAATGTGAATACCTCACAACTGAGGAAGTTTCCATGTATACTGATTAATAATGATTACTTCATTGAAAGTAATGACGAAAGTAGTTATCTTCTGCTTCATGATCTTCTTCAGTTTCATGATCATATATTTCGAGATAGTCTTCTGCTTCATCGTATTCTTCTGGTGTTAAAAATCGTCGAAACACTGGAATTCTTAGCTGAGTTGACTTGTTGACATTTTGTTCACCGTAATAAATGGCTTGAATGTGGGGGAAACAAAAGAATGCATATGTGCTTATTGGAATTGTAAGCTTATTTTGGTCCACTCGTATATAGGTTAATTGCTTGGAGTTCATTGGGTCAATAGATGGACACATCAGAGTAACATTTATCACTGCAAGATAGAAAAATATTAATTAAAATAGAGACAGTAGTTATATTTAAGACCTTTGTGAAAGTGATGCTTATGTTTTGGAATTTAAAACAGAAAATATTTATGGTGTACCGTTAAAATAATTCTTCCTTGTGTTTTAAATCAGTTTTGTAAATGACAGTGATAACAATTTTGGGGTTTGCCCAAAGTATAAGGTTGTAAGGTAAAGAAAAAGTAAATATGATTGCACTGCAACTTGTAAATACTGGTTTATGTGAATGGAATATTGTCATTATTCCTTTTCTCTGTATGTTTTTTTCAATTGCCTAATTGGGAGCCATTTTCAAAGAGGTCTTAGCTTGTTGTATGAAAAAACTATACTAACTTTTACAGAAAATTGCAAATCTAAGGTATGGGGTGAAAATAAACATCCTTTCTAACTTCACTGGCTTGGTCTCAACTACCCAAGACTGTTTACACTACATCCTGAAGAAGATGAGATGATGTTCTTTCTGGACTGTAAGCTGATTAAGAGCTACCTAGCTGCCTTGGCTCCTGGGGAATACAGTATGTTTGACCTCTGGGTCAGTGCCATGTTAACTGGTTATTTCAGAAGACTAACAGCTCAAGATCACCTCTCTGCGAAGCAAGCCATCAGAGTACCTCTTGAACAACATGCAGATTTGGATGCCTGCTGAATTCTATGCTTGGTTTATACATGACCTAACTGAGAAGCTGTAAGGTGGAAGGTTCTCAAAACCAAGGAAGCAACAAAAGAGATGTTTCTGATAGTTTTTGGATGTAGGCTAAAAATTCTTAGCTCTTGCTGGTAAGGAAAACATGCCAAACTCCCCCCCTTCCCACATCCAGAGCCAATATCCACAATTTTCTTTGCTTGTGAAGAATTGCAACCATCAACATACTTTCAATGTCATTGTCTTCAAGATACAAGTGCTGCAAACTTCTTGGAATGTAGAATACTTGTTTCAATTTGTTATGTCCAAGATTAAGTTCTAGAAGGTTGGGTAGATTAAAAGTGTTGCGTGCAATGTTCTGCAGGTTATTGTGGGACATTCTTAGAGCAATGATTTTTGGAAGTCTGTTGAAATAGTTTTCTGGAATATAAGAAATCGAGTTATTCTCAAGAGAAAGATACATAAGTGACGATGGTAGATCGGGAGGCATAGTCTGTAATCTGTTGTTGCATAAATGGAGCTGCATTAAATTTTTTGTGTTTGAAAAGGGTTTTCCTTTTAGTACAGAGTCGTCAAGAAAGTTATTGCAGAGGTCAAGCATGGTTATGTTGGGTAATCCTTCCAGTGCCTCTCCAGATAACTGAGAAATCTTATTGAAACCAAGGAGGAGTCTCTCTAGAGAGCTGGGGAGTGGGAATGGAAATTCTTCTAATTCATTATGCTGTAAATGAAGTTGCACCAAGTTTGAAAGTTTGGCAAAAACACCGTGGTCAATCATAGGAGATTTAATTTTGTTGTGGCTGAGGTTAATTTCTCGTAAGAAGGTACCATTAGTGAATGGTCCTGCAGGCACAGCTTCAATATCGTTATTTTGCAGATAAAGTTGTTGGATGTGACTAGGGATATTTGGTACTGCCTTCAGCTTACGATGGTCGCAGTACATTGATAACAGAAAAGCTGGTGGACAAAAACACTCTTTGGCACACTCAACTGGAAAAGGAAAGTGAGGGACTTCAACTTGTATATTTGGATTAAAATAATATGGATGTTGATGGTCTGGCTCATCATATTCATCCTCAAAATCATAATCTTCATATTGACAAAAGACCATAGCAGCCCAGAGGAGGTGAATGATTGAGAGCGGGCTCAGAATCCCCATACTGAAGTTGGTATGTTGTATCCTGTTGATGAGAAGGAAAAATAAGTTTATTAGCTTGTCATAAAGTAAATGACATAGAAGTTTCAGTTTTAAGAATAAGCAAAATAAGCAATGTAAACTAATGTGGTTTTTTTTGCAGCGCTGTTAGTGACATTATTAGCAAAACCAGGTTTTTATCTGTATCTTCTAATAAAGCAGCCATAAACAGTTACAGGTGAATGTAGGTTTTCTTGTCTGCGGTCAGGCAAGAAAGAGCTTTCTTCTTATGCTGTGCTTGTGCCTGTTCCTGAAGGATGCCATAACAGCTAGGAATAGAAAAATATTCTAGTCTTCATTCCTTTGACGGTGTATTTTTTTTTTACAGAGAAGCTGCAAAAGGACTTTTGATATCAAGTGGTATGGTCTGGGGGACCTATTGGACATTTGGGGTGTCGCATACTTTCCAGTGCAATGGGTTAAGCGTCAGCCTTACAAATCACTTTTAAATTGATGCAGGTGGAATTCCTGAGCAACATTTCTTCCTCTGACCTTTGGAAACACATAATAAGGCCTTGTTAAACTTGGTCAAGGTGAAATCTTATTTTGGAGGTGTATTAGTTACTCTCACTAAGAACTTGCATTGCACAAATGATGCATGGTCAGTATCCTAGAACCCCATAGCCCAGCCTAGTGCTCCAAGTGTTTCCATCTTCAACAGTAGATAAGATCACCTTAGACTTTATCTGGGCGAGCTTTGAGAATCTTCACGTGTGGAATCCCACATCTCACTAAGTAACCCATTAGTGCTGTACCGCACCCTGGTGAAGGGTTTTGCTAGTCTTACTAAGCAGCTGTTTTGCCAATGACTAGGCCCAACAAAAATGACAGCACCAGCAGGAAGAGAATCCAATACGCAGACTGTATTGTAAACAAAAGCGTTATGGTATGAATGATCACTGGTGGTACAAACAGGTCAACCAGCTGGTACATAATTGGCACCACCCCCAACGATCCCACAAAAGATATGACTCGGCCCACAACAGGTGGTACAAACAGTGAACCGAGGTTGCCCACAGTTGGCATGGGAAACAGCCAGACCAGCCAGTTAAATACACCACATGGCAATTCTCACCCGATCGGCCCGCGTTCACAAACCTCTAAACAGACTGGGGCCCAGCTCCAGGGAGAGTCAGGAGGTCTGCCCTGAACCAGGAAGCTCTGGGGAGTGCACTCCACAGACGGACACTCCTGACTCCCTGCAAGTGGTCCCAGCTTTTATCCCCCAGCAGACACATGACCTTTGTCAACTCAATGCGGGACCCCTGGGGCTCATTTCCCTTCTGGCTCTCCCTGCAGGGCCGGCCGCACCCTGGGGGGAAGCTCTAAGGCAAACTCACCACCTCTGTATGAAGGGCTGTGGGAATCACCCATATGTCAACCTTAACTCAGGGCTCGGGGTTCAAACCCCAGCATTTCAGCAGCCAAGCCATGGCTTATATCTGTTGTTCTTATTTTTAAATAGCTATTTTTATTAAATTTATAACCTTGACCAAGGTGAGGTAGTTTTGGGATTGTTATAAATAGAATAGCGAAATAGATTACTTTAAAATATTGCCTTTTATGTAAAATAGATCTGTACATGGCTTTGGTGATTTTATGTTCCGTGGCATTTTATGTTGGTTTTCTCTCTTCTGCAAAACGTGGCTTAGTACAATGCGTTAGCAATGCTAAATTTTTTTTTGTTTGCATCATTTAATTTTACACAATTCCATCATTGTGTATGGCACCTCGTGTAGAATCTTCATTGGTAAGTTTCTTTTTAGTCTCCCTAGGCTTCTGTAATCACATGTTCTTTATAGATACGAACTAATTTACCTCCAAGTACACTTCTGAGGTTAAATACAGATGTTGTGAAAGACAATTTTGCATGTCAAATTTCTAGTGCTTAAAGCCAGACTAACATTTCAGAGCACTTTAAGCAGACAGAGGAACCCTATTATTTGGCAGAATCAGAGTTAAGCTCACGTTAATCAGAGTTAATCAGAGTTAAGTCACGTTAAGCTGTTCAATTTAAATAACAGATGAGTCAAAATGGAACATTGCAGGTCAAAGTACATAAATTGTGGAAGATTTTAAGACTTTGCTCAGTATAGTGTGGGCACCCTGAGGCAGAGGGAAGCAGATATTCTCAGGGTTGGTTTTTTTTTTTTTTGGTGTTTTTTTTTTGTTTGTTTTTTTTTTTTATAATGACATTCATGCTTCTTAATCTGGGGACTTTCTTCTTTGTTTTCTTGATGCTCTCCATAATTTCTTTTTTTAAATATTTTTTTTTTTTTTTTTTTTTACAAAAGACAATTTATAACAGTAGAGATGAGACCTATGGATGCTTATTGCCTATGCATTATTGTGGTGACTGATGTATTCTACAAATTGAATGAGAGAGAGAATTCTAAGGAAGACAGTAACAAAATCATGGAATTTAATGCATCCTCATAATCTTCCTGAGAGTCACAATGGATGAGTGAAATAATTTGTGTTATTTATCTTGCATTTCTAACTTTGCATCATTTGTATTTGAATGCTCCTTTACTCAAGTTTTTCATAACCTATTAAAATCTTAAAAACAGGCTTGGAGTGACTTGTTTGGAACCCTACTGCAGCTAGGTCCTCAGCAAAGCCAGGGTCTCCATATCCCTGCAGCATCATCAGATGTCTGAGGTAATCTCAGTAAATGGCAGAACTAGGTCTACACCAAGAGCAGCCTTGTACTACAAGCACTGTATATATGCACTGTGCTCATGAGCTTTGTAGGTGCTTGCTGGGATGAGAAGCAGTACTGTGCTTCAGGAAGAATTCATTGGTTTTCAGATTTCAGGCAGCGTATATTGGGAGAATGCTTTATTACCACATTTTTAACTACCTGTCAGACCTATATAAAATCTGTCTCTAAATCATGTTACTTTTGTTTATTTGTTTTTTTAATTTTTTTTTTTTTTTTGTGAAGGGACCCTTACACAATCCATTTGACTTTTTCTTTTGATTCCTGCTATTCCCTCTCAATTTCAGCCCAGAACTTTAGCTTCACCTTCTGGTTCTATTCTCTCAGCACCTCTATGAGGTGTCACAAAATTTCCAATTAATAATTTTGGTTCTCAGTGCCACAATTTTACTTAGAAAGGAGGAGGAACAACTTGGGAAAGTCTTGCTTAGTTTGAAGAAAAAGCTTACTTAGTCCCTCATTCAATTGATCCATTTGCTATGTGGACAATAAAGAGAACTATCATCACTTCAGATGGAATAGTAAATAGTAGGTACCAAAGTCTCTTGCTGCTTTTATGGAAAGAGAGGAACTGGTCAAGAGCAGGCTTGCAAGTCATGTCTCAAACCACTGAGATACTAACACTGCTTCACAAAATATTTCTACAACTTGAACTTTAAGATAAAGAATCATGTCAGATGAAAATTGATAAGGGGACACACAAATCAGATGCACATTGTATGATAAACTGCATACTTATAAAGATGAAAATAGAAGTCTTATAAGCATGACTCTACTATCTGAAATAAATGCAGTTAGCAAACTTTGAGTTTACTAGCTGAAAGCTAAACATTATATAACACACATGAATCACTCTTAACTGCAAAAATAACACAATAGGTTTGGTTTATTCCTGCTTACCAAGAAAACTTACTCTTTGGAAGTCTGTGAAGCTCAAGTTGTAGAGTGGCAGCAAGTTATTGTGCTGGTGAAAGCATCTGAGAAACAACTTAACACAGCTGGAGGAACAAAAGATCTCTCTAAGCCCTATTTTGTGGTGAGGAGCCTTGTGGGAAGGCAAAGCACAATAATAGCCTTAGCCCTGCTTCTCATTTGCCAGTAAAAAAAAAAAAAAAGTTGTGCCACATCATCAGTTACTGCAGATGCTGTGTCCTAAGTCTATGAAGTGACTTCTTTTTTTAAAAATCACTTCAAAATTATTTGCAAGATCCTTTCATTACCAGTTCCTGTTTAAAAAAAAAAATAATTGAGCGAGTAAGACTTCAAAAAATATTTTAGAGTTCATTAATTCTTAGTGCAGTTTCAACTACAATGAGTCAGTTCTGCAAATGTTTATTCTCTGGGGGATGAAGTTAAGAAACAGTAGAAAAAAACCAACCGTATCAAGATCGAGGAAGAGCATGTGCTATAGAAAAGCTGTTCTGAACATCTTCCATGTTTTACTTTTTTTCCCTCCACAGTCAGAATTTCCTGTTTCCTTCCTGCAAAGCAGTTGTGCTGTACAGTGCTCTACTTCTCAGTCCTGTTTTAAAGGTGGAGTTCAGGATTCACAGTTAAGTTTCCCAACATGTTTTTGCCAAGTTGTGTAGAAAAAGTATAAATCTTCCTATGGATAATACATGTATTGACATAAGGTATAAGCAATTTTACTGGAGAAAAATATTATTCATAGCTTTTAAGAGGGAGAAAAAAAAGGCATGGTTTGCTTTTGCTGCTCAACTGTGTTCTATGGAAAAAATGCAGAAAAGGACATTTTTTTGGAAGTGAGATGTTCTGGATTAATTACATGATTTGTTAAAAGCATTTAATGCCTTTTGCTTGGTAAAAGTACTATATTATTTCAAAATATATTCATTAGGAAAAGTTTGGTTCTTAAAAAAGTGTAAGTGCCTTTGAGGTATCACGTTTGAGAAAATAATGCAGTAATAAGATTTACTTTTCAGACTTTGAGCTTCCTGTTGATTTGCTTGACCTTTCCAAGTTTCCTGTGTAACACTGAGGACAAGAATGTTGTTTAAAAAGATAAATCGTGTATGCTTCTAATGTTTGGAATATAAAGAAAAGTACCAAAAGTCATGAGCAAGAATAACATTGTAGGAGCTGGCAATACTGGAACTAAACCAAAAAGAGTCATGTATTTATGTAGAGAATACAGAATATAAGGGAGAGGTTAAAAGAGTAAAATGAAAGCTACGTGATCCTTTATTAACAGCACTGTAGATAGTTGAATAGCTGCACTGTA